AATATTGTGAAATATTATTGCAATTTAAAATAACTGTTTTCTATTTGAATCTATTTTTAACTTCTTCCAGGATTGATAATAATAAGAACCATTATTAAAAATTGAGCATGAATAATAATTGATAACTGAATATTAGAATGATTTCTAAAGGACACTAATGATTGGAGTACTGGATGCTGAAAATTCACATTTGCCATCATAGGAATAAATTACATTTTAGAATATATTAAAATAGTAAAGAGTTGTTTAAATTGTAATATTTCACAATAGTGCTGTTCTTACTGTATTTTTGATCAAATAAATACATGTGAGAATAAGAGACTTAAAAAAAAACTCAATTATTCCAAACTTTTGACTGGTAGTCTATATGTAGTCCTTGTTTGAAAAGTATTTGTGAAACTGTGGAGGACAACACACATACATGTTTCCTTAAAATATTGGAAATGATCTTATGTCTCTCAGGAATCAATGAAGATTGCATTGCAGCATGGAGATCGGCCCCTTCAGGCATTGTGTCTGCTTAACTTTGCTGATATTCATCGCTGTCAGAAAGATGTTGATGTAAGTTATTCTGCTTTTTTTCAGTATATTGCTATTACTAGCGCATTTAGCACATAACTGTTATACAAACAATTGTTTTCACTGTCCCACTTACACATCATTGCAGAATAGTGCTTCACAGTTATGACCAAAATCATAATTGTCAATTATTTCTTTTAGCATTGAATTGGGTTTAGTACATTTTTATTGATAACATTTACATTACTATACAACATTCTTGAAGGTTTCACATCCGAAACAAGTTGTTTATAATTAGCTATGTTCAATGATGCAAAAACTAAATATGCATTATGTAACTGACACTATTCAGAATTAATTACGGCAGCAATTTTTTCGTTCTATTCCAAAATAGTCAACCAAGAGTGCCATAAGTGTTGCTTATAGCAATGATGCTTTTCTTTGTGGGCTCACCTTCAATACAGAAAGCATTCCCTCGCTATGAGTCCTCCATGTGCATAATATCAGAGATTGGCAACCGCCTTGGACAAGCATCCATCTACGTTGGTGTGGGGAAGTGCTGGATTCTGCAGAAGGAATACGATAAGGTCAGGAAACTGATTTGATTGTGTAGTTTCCCTAAAAATAAAGATTCTATATTGGCAGCTATGGTTCCACGAAGAAGCTTTAAACACCCATGGAACCTATCCATTAAACAAAAAGTTTCCTTAAAATGGAAAAGCTTCTTCAGATTATTAAAATATTCTTCACACTAAGCAAAAAAAAAAAAAAAAGGCTCTTTTAAGAACTATTCACAGAAAGGTTCTTTGGGGAACCCACAATGGTTCTTCTATTTCATCACTATGAAAAGCCACTTTTGAAACCTTTATTTCCTCTATTGTATAGATGAACATTTGTGATCGATGTTTTATATATATTAAATGGCATCAGTTTATGATTATTTCTTTATAATTTGAATTCTGTCACAGGCTTTGGACTCATTGCAAAGAGCACATGATCTGGCCGAGGCGATTGGAAACAAGGTGATGCATCTATTTTAGAATAAGAGGCGAACATTTCATTTTCAACACTGCTTCTGAAGCAGTGGCGCTTTGATGACATAACATTAAACTCGGAAGATAAAGACACGTTCTCTAATAGTATTAGCATTAGCGTTGTATTTGACTATCTCTGTGCACTTCTCTTCCAGCTGTGTATCCTGAAGGTGCACAGTCTGTGTGAAGGCATCTACCGCTGTAAGGAGCAGCAGGATGAGTTGAGAGAGCAGGTGGTGAAGTTCCTGCAGTGTGTGGAAGAGCTAGAGCTCTACTGTGGCATGTGTGGGGAGTCTATCGGAGAGAGGAACCAGCAGCTGCAGGCCTTGCCCTGCTCTCACATTTTCCACCTCAAGTATGTATTTGTATGTTTATTACTCTCTGTGGCCATCAGCTATCATGTCGCTCACTGTTCTTTTCTCACATGCAGGTGTCTGCAGACAAACGGCACAAAGGGCTGTCCAAAATGTCATCGTTCCTCAGTTAAGCTGGGTTTTGTATGAGATTACACTCCCGCCTTGGACAAAATGGCAGAATCCCATCACAGTGACCCGTCTGGGAGTAAAAGTTCCAGGGCCTTCTTTCAGGAAGCTTTCTAACTGGACAAAAGGAGAGTTTCCGGTATATTCCATCCTGTCTTTATGGTAACTGGGAATAATGTGGAAATGACAGGATATGGGAATAGTTCAACACAGAGACGTCATGAAAGACTACAGATATTTCTCTGAACTGACCTTATAATGCTGCATTGGTGTAAGACAGAAACATTAAAAACAGCCTTTTGGACCATGCAGCATTGCTGTCCTGTCAGTGAGGATATTCATCAAAGAGGTGAGAGCTTTACATATCACATGGTTTCCTAATGGACATTATTGCTCTATTATCACAGCTGAACAGAACAAAACATGTATATTTTAAACATTTATGACTTTCTAAGTGATTTTCAAGCAAGTTTCAAGCTCTAATCAATTTCTTCAAGATTGTGTAAATAATTAATAAATGCTATCAATCAATGACATTTTTAAAAGATAAAGGTGTTCTCTGTCAGCGCTATAAGATATGCTGAGAGATGCTGTTCTGTTTGAGTTTGTTTGAGGTTTGTTTTGAGATTGTAGTAAACTCAAATGTCTCTAACTGCCTTCCTGTTCATGAATTGTAATATTCTGAAGTAACAGGGGCATGTGTTCAACTTATTAACTTGACCAATTATGAATTTTGTTAATTATTTATGACAATTATTTATGTATTTTAATAAGGACAGCATTACTATGTTTCTGATAACAGCTGAATTCATTTCTTTTACGTTGAATCAACAAAATGTGAAAAGTAGTTTCTTTATTCAGTACATTTATAGTATGTGCAGGTAGACGTGTAGTTTGCTGATATCAGCTTTAAAACCTTATAATTAATCTCCTTTATTTTCTTAAAATCTTCAGAGATTCACAAACTGTTTATACCTTTTTTTTCCAACATGTATAGCACTAAATTATTTGAGTATGTTTAATCAGAATAGCCCAAAGTTGGTTTTTATCTTTATTTCTTTGTGGGCACTTTCATTTCATTTTTCAATCAAAAATAAATGTAAGCCAATTGCCATATGTATTATCAGTTTAAAATATATCAACATATATGATGACAGATTCTTTGATCATCTGATGAATATTCATATTATTTTGTAAATGGCTAACTAACAATTCTCTAACCTTTCATAACGGCTACATTGATTTCTCATCATTTTACTTTGTAAGGACTTTAGATAGTATCTGAGGTCTTGTGCATGTTTCTTCTGACCTTCTTTTTTTTGCCACTTTAATTATTCCATAACTAAATAATAAAATACAAATAAAACACATCCAAAGATGTATAAATTGTAATACATTTTACTATAACTCTCGTCCCAAGCATATAGGCATTTGCAATGGAACAGTTCGCAATGTTTAATGTGATCAGGCATATTCTTAGAAATAAATAATAAAACAACATGACATGGAGATTTCTTGTTGAACTTATTAATATATGGGAGCAATATGTAAAAATGCTGCTTATTTATTTCTCTTTTACCTTACTTTCATTTTTATAGTAACTTTGTCCTATTCTAAGCTAATTTCCCTGTTTACTAACTGCATGCTGTGTAAAGTGGTTTCACATCCTGGTTGTCAACACTTCATAACTACCTCTCCACATTCGTGCCCTCACAATACTTGCATGTTTACGCCGTAGAATCTTCTGAAAATGAGACTGAACACATTGTTTAATTGAGAGAAGTCCTGTATATAAATATATATTCAATGGACTTTTTCTAGTAAATATTTAATAAAATAATTTTTTTGCAGCTTGTTTTCTGATGAAGTGTCTTTTTAATTAAAAACGGCATGCCTCATCATGAACAAAACACCCAAGCTATAATTAGCCATGAAAACACATGTCCTCGAGTAACACAGTGACATTTGTTTTAGAGAAGTCGCTATCTGAAAGTTTAAAAATCAGGTCAAACCGGTCTATCCCAGTCGCACTGCACTATACTTTCAGCTTGGAAGTTTTCTAAACACCTGAGAAAGACTTTTGGATTCGCAAATTCACCACCGATGGCTGAAGAATGTTCTTTCACTATGGAGGATCTACAGTGTCCTTTGTGCTGTGAGGTCTTCGATATCCCCGTCATGCTGAGTTGCAAACATAGCTTCTGCAAAACCTGCATTCAGACACACTGGGTCCGTATGGGAACACGGCAATGTCCTCTGTGCCGCTGTACAGAGCGCTCATCCAGGCCTCCAATCAATTTGGCTCTAAAGTTAGCCTCGGATGTCTTCAAAAAGAAGCCGGAGCAGTTCATGGTAAAATCAGTGGAACGTTGCTCAAGACACAATGAGGAACTGAAGCTTTTTTGTCGGAAAGACGCAGAACTTATCTGCATAGCCTGCATGTCATCAAGGAGTCACAGAAATCATGAGTACTGCCTGATAGCTGAGGCAGCATCGGAAATAATGGTAAGGAAACGTGTGTTAACCTGTCTATGAATGTAGATATAAACTAGAGTGTGTGTATCTGTACAACTTGTACCCCACAGAAAGAGCTCACAACTAGGTACAATCCTTTGAAAAAACAACTAACCACCTTTGACAAATTAAAGGAGAGCTTGGTGGAACTGGAAACATACATACAGGTGAACTATATGCACAAACCTACAGTTCCTCAACATAAACTTCGTTAAGGATTATCCAATCCAATTGATTTTTATTCTAATTTACAGAAACAAGCTGCCGAAACTGCTGCAGCAGTAAAACAAGAGTATGAAAAGTTATATACAATGCTGAGGGAGGAGGAGGCAGCTCGACTCATGGTACTTCAAAATGAAAGAAAGAGCAAGACCGCAATGGTCAGAGAGAAACTGGAGGAGGTCAATAAGAGCATTGAAGAGCTCTCTGGGATCATCAAAAACATAGAACCCATCATAATAGCAGATGATCTGACATTTTTAAAGGTCAATATGCTTTTAAAACCTTATTTGGTATCACTTTATAATAACTTTAATTTATAAGTCATTAACAAACATTATATAATGCTTAACAGATCATTAGTTAATATATATTCACATAGCTAGAAATATGAGATAATGTTCTTGTTAACTAATGAACTTACTAAACATTACCTAATGATTAACATATGATTATTTAATGTAAATTAAAATGCTTACAAATGTCAGTAAACTTTCAGTTCGTATGATCTTCATTCGTTGGTCTTAGTTTGTTGTGTAGACCTCCATTTACACATCTTAACAAATAATCGATTAATTATTTGTTCATGTTTTTGCAGTACCCAATCTAAAGTGGAAACTATTTGCAAATGTTTATAAATGTTTACTAATCATTAATACATTTATGAGCAGTCATCTCAATGGTAAAAAAGTGTCCCAAAAGACCTGAATTTACCGTTCACACATCTTTACTAATCATTTCTTAATCATTTGTTCATGTTTTTGCAGTAGCCAATCTAAAACTATAAATTACTAATAATTTAGTATCTTTATGGTCATTGGACTTTTAGCTAAAGTAACAAGGTTTGTGTAAAGGGTGGCTGGATAAGTTTAGCTAAATGCTTGCTAAAGACAAAACAGATTGTAATCTTAGTGCAAAAAAGTTTTTATTGCCTCAACACTCACATTAGTATACTACTCTTTGTATATTCCTTGAATCATAAATAAACAGGGGGAAACAAATCATTTTTTAAAAGAAAATCTTGTTCATTTATCAAAACAATATAATATAAACACCCTTAAACCTACCCATACCACCAAACCGGTCCCTAACCTTACCCGGATCACACCTCAAGAGCAGCAAAAGTGGTGTGCATTAACAAAAGCGTTTAATCATTTTATAACATCTGTTAAAATCATTTGTAGATTTTTAATAAGTGCTTGATCATATGGAATTGAAAGTTTAATGACATTTGTAAGCATTTGAACTTACATGAAATAATGATTTGTTTGATGATGAACATGATCTAATATTTAATGTGTATTAGCAAACATTAACAAGAACATTATCTCACGTTTCTAACTCTTTTAACATATATTAACTAATGATCCATTAAGCATTATATGAAGTTTGTTAATGATTTATTAATGAAAGTTATAAAGTGTTACCCATTATTTTTACGTAAAGGTACTGTGAGCCATGATACCCGTTGATAACTTTACCTCAAGCTCACTGCAGCGGCGAAAAGCTCATTGGTCTTCTTATTTTCCTTTGTCTTCGTATTCCTTTATCATGTTTGACTGTGTTACAGCTGGTTCACACAGAATGTGTTTTAATTGCCCTATTTTAAACACTTTTTCGGATGTAAACATGCGCCTCTTTGCACCGCTTCTTCCTGTTTTTTGCGTCTCGCACATGAGCGCCTTGTTTTACGCAGTGTCAAGTAGAGTTCAAGATGTTCTGTGTGAACAGCCCTAAGCCGTTGTTGATGTAAGAAATCGTGAATATTTTGCATTCTACAAAGTCATAACATGGTTTGGTTCAAATGATTACAATAATGCCATTTTTACATTTTCTCTACCTACAGGAATGTAAGGAGGCAATAAAACGGTACTGTACACAATGGTTTTCAATTTAAGCAGTCTGTCAGTTTTCTCTTTTCACACTAAAATCAACAAATAATGCATTTATTACAGGACTAGCTACACTGCTCCTGAAACAGAATATCCAAAAAAGGCACTTATAGATGTGCTTCAGTACTTGTTGATGTAAGAAATCGTGAATATTTTGCATTCTACAGTCATAAAATGGTTTGGTTCAAATGATTACATTAATGCCATTTTTACATTTTCTCTACCTACAGGAATGTAAGGAGGCAATAAAACGGTACTGTACACACTGGTTTTCAATTTAAGCAGTCTGTCAGTTTTCTCTTTTCACACTAAAATCAACAAATAATGCATTTATTACAGGACTAGCTACACTGCTCCTGAAACAGAATATCCAAAAAAGGCACTTATAGATGTCCTTCAGTACCTTGGATCATTAAAGCATGGGGTCTGGAAAAGAATGGAAAGACATGTACACTACTGTAAGTGCACAATTGTACATCAAGTACTTTAAATGTCATTGTTTACTCACTTTTTTTTTCTTACATGTAGCATAAAATGAGGTGATTAGCATAATTGTCCCCAAAGTACCCCTTTCATTACAAAAGTAAACTAGGGGCTAGTCCATGACTTTTCCACTATATTTCAAGTATTTTGAAACTAATATCTTTGTGTCAGCTCTCAAATCTTATTTGCATTTTCGTGTATTCAAATTGGACATCTTAAGATGCGTTTCACAGTGTTTGAATGTATAAATATCATAAAGATCTACAACAGATTCTGTCAATATTTTGATATACGTAAAGAACCTGCTAAAATAATTCGTAATCACTACACTACACTGACTAGGCCTATGCAAAATCATGAGAGGAGGTTTGGCTTTTTCCAGGCTCTGTCAATTTTGATCCAAACACGGCAAACCCTAACTTGATCATCAAAGATGAACTCACCACCATCAGCTATGAGAAAAAACAGCAGCTTCCTGATAACCCTGAACGCTGCACGAGCCGCATGGCAGTACTCGCTGCTAACAGCTTCAGTTCAGGAAAGCAGCGCTCGGATGTAGAGGTGGCACACAGCAAAGAGTGGTATATTGGGGTGGCACGAGAGTCAATGAAGAGGAAGACCGCAGTTTTTCTCAACCCGACAGAGGGTTTCTGGGTAATTTCAAACAATGAGGAATCCTACTGGGCTCAGACCTCTCCCCGCACTCAACTGACCCTGAAAACCCCCCCACAGATAATCACAGTTGAACTGGACTATGATAAAGGAAAGGTTTCCCTTTCTGATGCTGCAGATGGTGGCAGTAGTTACACATTTAAAGATAAGTTTACTGAGAGAATTTTTCCTTATTTTGCCACTGGAATAAAGGAGGGGAGCACACTAAGAATCTGTGCACTTTAATGTGTCCATAATAATGGGGCACAAAAAGAGTACATCAATTAAAAATAATAATAATAATAAAAAGACAAAGCAAATTTGCATCTAGACTTTTGATTTACAATTACTTTTAAAGGTGATTATCATTCATTTCCCATTGCTGCAATACAGTATTTTTGTACTATCAGCTTAAATCAGCATAAATTATGTTAGTATATTATTATGTTTGAGTTTTGGAAGCTTACCTGTTTTTGCCAGTATTTGAAATTGTGATAACATCTGTTGAAACAGATTTGTTATACTTACTCACTTTTTTATACTATACTCATATTTGTTATTCTCACTCAGATCATAAAGTGATTTGTTTAAGTTTTTATGCAGTTTATGCATCATAAATGCACAATAAATAAATAAATAAATAGTTTACACTTTAGTTGAAATTTAGCTAAGCACTTCTTGATGAGAAAAACAATGCAAACCCAGAGCATGTTTCATATTCCTTTAAGGATATTTCCACTTTGTAACTATCTACTTGACCTAAATGGTTATTCCTGATTCAGAACATTGCGGAGCTATTTTTAGGGCTAAGCATGTCAAGCGCAGAGTATCATCTACCTGAGTCATCTGGAAGTCACACAGGAAAGCCAAAGAAAACTACTACTACTGTACTTACAGTATTACAAATATTGCAATTCTATTAGCTCAAATGTTTCAATCAGACCATGCTCTTAAATTGACAAATTAATTCTTTATATAAATTATCTTTAGATTACATTTTAAAATCCCTTTTGACACAACCTTAACATTTGCACTGTACAAGCTGATCAAATCAGACTACCAACAACCAACACTAACAAAAAAATAAAAACATTTATGTTTTTAATGTAGTATTCAGTGACACATTCTGCAAGAAAACACTTTTTTTTTTTTAGCTCTAAGTAGCTTGAGGGAAAATGTAAAAGCATTTCACAAAGATCAAACTATCAAAAGCTGTTGCACATATTTTTTTTTGTCATACGACTTGTGGCTATTAGAAACATTGTCACCTGAAGTACTCCTCCTAATGTGTTCACCATGCAAATCCTCCACTAACTGCATCCATGGAGCTCACAATGCCACCCGAGTCTCTTATGTCCTCTTGTGGACAAATATACCAAGCTACATGAGCACATGCTGTGTGGAGACTAAATATATTAAATCCAGCATTAAATGGACCCAAGCCAAAGCTATGCTCTGCCTGTGCTCTTCAGAGCTTTATAAGATAACTGGGAGTTTACATATGACATCAATAATCAATCACTGAGAGGCACAGAGGAGCAACGAATTAAGCTCCCAATAATAATTCTGAAAGACAAATCTTGTACAGGGATTTCAGACTAGCATTAGGGTAGGTATTTTAAGCACAACCCAAGTCATTCAGAAACCCACCTTTCAGTCACAGTGCCAGTCAGGAGTATTAAATATGGCTGGTCTTTGTGTGATTTGCTTAGCATTTAACCATGCCAGTGTAGATCTGTAATAAATAGCAGCTGTTCTCAGCCTTATTGAGGAACTTATTAGCGTCATAATAGCCAGAATGTTTGTGAAGCTCATAGAAATATTTCTATACTTATTTTTCAAGTTAATAACCATCACATTTAAATTAAACAACATCAGATTGATCTAGTGTCTCCGAATGTCAGTTCTCTTTGTCTTTGGCTTTAGTTTTTCTTTGAGATGCCATATCTTTGAGTTTAGAGTCTAGTTTTCTCTGCAGATATGCTTTTTTATTTGGATCCACCGATTTGCCCTTCTGGCCACTTCCTGCGTAAAGCACCCCTTCTTTACTTATCCTCATTCTAGCTTGTGCTTTTGCTTTGTCTCCACATCCGTGCACCTAAAAAAAGGCAATACTTTATTTCAAACATATCTCACATCAAAAATATCTTTAGTATAAATGTTTTAAAGGTCATATCATACATTTTTTATTATTTCATAATATATTTTGATGACTATTTTCAACCCTTTTTGTTAGCACGCCTTTAAGACGGATGTCAACACCCTTTTCGCTTGTGAAATGAGAAAAAGCACTTGAAATTATTAGGACCATTGTTAAAAAGAATTCGAGCCACTGGTTTCTAACACTGGATGTTTTGTGTTTATGAATAATAGCATCTACTCAGCTTGCTCCGTATTACATCATGACTGTAAAGGTCATGGTTCTGATTACCGAATACCCTGGATTCAATAAATGGTCAATTTAGACTGGGAACAAAGTTCAAGTTCTGAAAGTTACAGTCTGTTTACAAATTACACTTGAAGAGTTCGTTTGCAAAAACCGATAAAGGCCACTTTAAAAAAAAAAAAAAAAAAGAGCTGATTGCCGTGCATTATTCTCCACATATAGCGCGATCTGAACCCTAAATACGTTTTGTCAAAAAAGCCGGTTTTGTCCACTTTCAAGGCATCGCGAGTTCACGTTTTACGGCAGAAGACGACATGCGCCCTTGTTGTTTTTGAACAGAAGCCGATAAGTCCATTTTAGCGAATCAGCGCGCTGTATTCAGGTCAGGTGACTAGGCTACTTTCACTTTGAAAAGACGTGCTAGCCGAGAGCAGTGTTGCCAACTTAGCAATTTTGTTGCTAAATTTAGCAACTTTTTAGACTACCCTAGCAACTTTTTCTTCCAAGAGCACCTAGCAACAAATTTAGCTATTTTAAAATTTTATTTGGCTACTTTTAGCAACTTTTAAAAACAAACTTTTAATATGTTTAAAAAAACATACTTTCAATTAACTTTAATTTTGTAAATTACCTGTATTTGTTTAAGTTATTATTACTTAATCAAAACAACCCAACTGCAGTTTGATTTGTCAGTTTTTGCAAAATAACTCTTCACTTGTTTCAAAAGATAAAGCAAAATTTGGTTCTTCATGATATGACCCCTTTAAAATAAAATAAAAAGCAAGTTACCTCAGGTATATGGTGACTCAGACAGTATTGTCTGTTACAGTAGAGGCAGAACTGCCCAAGTGTCAGGACACTGGCTTTGCACTTCACGAAACCACAAACGCTGTCGGCTTTAACCACAGCATTGATGAGACCGTCAAAATCGTCATCTGGCATGGCAGCTGCAGCTATATCTGTGGCTCCTGCTTTTATCTTAGTGTTTCCTATGAAAGAAACACATATTGACTATGATGTGTAACAGAGAATGAAAGTATTGAAACAATTCAGAAACTGGGATATAGATCACAAACCTTTGGAAGTTCCTTTGGGTTTCTTAACAGATTGGCTTTTACTAGTATTAGGATCCGGTTCCCGTCTCACACTCTGTTGTTTTTGCTGCTTTTTCTCCTCTCGTTTCTCCTGCTCCCGGCGCATTCGCTCCAAATGTAGGCTCTTCAGATCAACAGCTGGCTGTGAGGGTCCTTTTTGCAACTCTTCTTGTAGCTTCGCTGCTGTACATGCAATCACGTCTGGTTGTTCGGGCTCCACTGACTTTTCTAGTCCTGATGGAGGTCGGGACACAGTGATGCGACGGTTTTTCCCTTCTCCCTGGCTTTCATGCCTCAGTCCCATTTCTTCAGAGAGCTCGTGGACTAGCAGACGCTCGTGAGAATTTAGCGTGGAAGGAAACTGTAGCTCTGTCTTTCTTGAGTCTTTCAGAAAGTTCAGAAGTTGCTCCTTTATCTCTTTTCTCTGATCAGCATCTTTGGGTTTAGGATGGTGTGAATTGGTATTTTTATGTTGCTCAGGCTGAACATTGGACTGATTCACTCCTCTACTTTTGTTGTCTGCACTTTTCTTCTGTTCTTTTTCTGTTTTCATGCCTTGGTTCTTGGGCTTCTGTTTTGCAGATGCAGCATCTTTGCTGTTGGTTTGTTTGTCCTTTTCATCACGGATGTAATTCTGTGCCACACAGTCTTCCAGGTACTCAAAGGCAGTACGAACCTCTCCATGTTCAGACATATAGTCCACTAGGGATTTGAGGAAGTCATGTTTTCGAACAGTCTGAGAATCACACACTACCACAAGCTGGCGTCTGGCACGAGTCACAGCCACATTGATCCTTCTGTCTTCAGCGAGAAATCCAACCTCACCTTTGGAGTATATGTTCACATATAGGTTTGGAATAACATGAGGATGAATAAATGATGACGACAATTTATATTTAAAGGAACACTCCACTATTTTTGAAAATAGGCTCATTTTCCAACTCCCCTAGAGTTAAACAGTTGAGTTTTACCGTTTTCGAATCCATTCAGCCGATCTACGGGTCTGGCGGTAGCACTTTTAGCTGTAGCTTAGCATAGATCATTGAATCTGATTAGACCGTTAGCATCTCGCTCAAAAAAGACCAAAGAGTTTGACTCTTCTGTACTCTTCTAGAAAGGATTCTCTTCAAAAATAGTGGAGTGTTCCTTTAAGCCAGCCAAATTAAATCTACTAAAAGCACAATCTCTGGCGTACCCTTCCTGTTGGATCTGACCAATGACAACACCACTGCCTCCTTTTCTCTGCCCTGGAAGCCATCAACAGACTTGATCTCCAGCTCTGCATATTTATGGGACAGTTTCTGTCTCAAAAGATCCACCTTAAACAGACAAAATCACATTTTTTTTTAAATGCACGACTGCTATTCATACTGAAACAGCAGTGAAGGCATTGCATTACAGGCATACATTATATAAAACATGTGCTCTTTTACACATCAGTTCTTTGAAAAGTACCGCACCTGGAGATTATAGGGTGCAATAATCGCAATGTCTTTGACTTGAACTCCAGCGTCGGTAAGTGCCTTTATATGAAGAGCCAAAATGTCTACCTCTCCTGTGGAGTATTAGAGAATAAAAACAACATTCAGAAGGCATTTCATGGCTTAATTAAGAACTAAAATTGTGCTTGGAGCTGACATCAACCTTGATTTCCTTTGGACTGCTCGTCTGTATCCTCCATCTCATTCAGGCCACAGCCTGCAGTGTCAATGAGCAGGAGGGGAATTCTGGTTTCCTCAACATCAGCAACACCAGCCAGGTCTCTGTTTAAGATGCAATCAGTTATCTTCATATTTATATTCCTCTATATATAAAAGTTTGCTAGCAAACTTAAAATATACACTACCATTCAAAAGTTTGGGAAAGATAAGATTTTGAAAGAAGTCTCTTATGCTGACCATGGATGCATCTATTTGATAAAAAATATAGTAAATACTGTGAAATATTTCTATTTGAATATATTTTAAAATGTAATTTATTCCTGTGATGGCAAAGCTGAATTTTCAGCAACCATTCCTCCAATCTTCAGTGTCACATGATCCTTCAGAAATCATTCTAATATGCTGATTTGCTGCTCAAGAAACATTTCTTATTATTATCAATGCTGAATATTTTTGTGGAAACTGTGATACATTTTTTCAGGTCTCTTTGATGAATGGAGAGTAAAAAAATACTTCTATAAAAATGTAAATCTTTTGTAACATTATAAATTTAGCTACTGCTACTTTTGATCAATTTTAATCAATTCTTGTTGAATAACTTGCAACTCATCCCAAACTGTGGACTGGTACTGTACATGGCCAACATTGCAAATTAAAACGTTTAACATATTTTATATTACACACTTAAGCAAGTGTTTCTCCACTGAAGGGTGTGCAATCAGTTTGCCCTCATACATTTGCTCTGAAGCCCACTGCATGATGGCACCGTTCATACGGTACTGAGTGGTCAACATTCGAACCACTGGGTCTCCATATTTCTTTATCAGCCTCTCCATTAAGCTGACAGACAGGCCTTTAGATGCAGCACTGTGAAAGATATAAATAACATTTATTACATGGATAACATTTTATCATTATGAGAGTACATTTCAATTAAACATTCATGTAATTCATGTAATAAAAAAACATTAATAATCTGAAATATTGACCGAATATATTGATTAAGTATATAATAGTAATAAAAAAATGTTAAGAGCTCATCAAGAATAGATACCATAAACCAAATAATTCACAACCGTAAGATACATTCCCCTTTCCTTCATACCTCTGTGATTTGATCGTGGGTGGCAGCTGTTTGTAATCCCCAGCCAGTATGCACTTGCGTGCTTTGAGCAGAGCGATCCAACAGCTGCTCTCTAGAGCCTGAGCACACTCATCTATCACCACCAGGTCAAAATGATCATTAGGAAGATGTTTGAGAGGACCATCATCAGAGGCTCCTATATTACACAAATCAATCATATCTGAGTTTAAATCAGGCATAAACAAACAAACAAACATATCCGTAATAAAAATCGATGACTGCTAAGAAAGGTTTACTTACCAGTGTTAGTTGCTAGAATAACATCGGCCCTTTTCAGGATCTGAGTGATAGCCATTTCCTCCCTGGTCCTCAGCTCTCGCCGCAGTTCCCTGATTTCCAGTCTCAGATTGCTCCGTTGGCCTTTGTCTCGAGCCTTCTTCATTTCATTCTGTCAATGCATTTTATTTATTTATTTTTTACTCATATGATATGCAAATTTATAAGGTCTCTAAATTATCAGCATGTTAAAAACGTTCCTCATAAACCTGTTGTACACAGTCGTCTACTTGACAGACCTTTTAGTATAATTGTAAAATGGTCCACTTCAGGTCATGGAACACATGTATTTTTGCTGTAAAATTACTGATTTTTACATTTATTTTATATTGTTGGTAATATTTTAAGATGAAAACTTACTGAACTGAAGCAACTATGCTTTACTTGATTATCCATATATCACTTTTAGAAAAATCATGTTAAATGTGAGTATCAAATCACACATCTTTCAATCATCATTGTATTGCATGTTTTGCTTCCTACAATTAAAACTATAGAGCTTTGATCATAAAACTAAGCATTTAAATATCATCTTACTAAGACATATTACAAGCAGCTATAGAGTGACAACTGATATTTATATGCATTTTATGTATGTAGTCAGTTTTATTTTTATAAAGATATCACAAAGATTTGCATTACAACCTAGTAATATTTTATCTTACTTTTTGGCCATATAAATGTCAGCAACTGCACCAAATTGCATATTTTTGCCCAGTTTGGGCGTCTGAATAAAATATGAACTCCATATTCTCCTATATCATGCTATTTGAATCATAAAATCTGATGCATTAAATATGAAACTCAACAAAATATGTTTCAACACATATGAAAACTTTTTTAGATTTTGTCTGAAGGTTCGATAAACTGTTCCATTAAAAAAAACTGATATTTTTAGACTATTATTACATAAGTCCATTTTAATAGGGCCACATTTTAAAAAGTGTGCACTTCACTGCACAAAACCAAGCAGCATCTGTAAAAAATTATGCTAGTCATAATTTCTGAACAGTATATTTATTATTATTAATTTCAATAAACATTTTTGTGAAATGTTTCACCTAAAAAAATTGCTTGTGGTATTGTTCTTTGAAATAAATTGTATCTAAAGCAATGCCATTCATTTGTAAATGTGGCTGAAACACGTTTTGTACCACTTGAACAGGCAGCTCAAAACATTTATGATAAAAGAAAATCTTACAAAAGCTTTGTCCATGTCCTTGCGAATATCAGAAATGATGTTGGTGTTGTCACTGTGTGCAAGGACCGCATCCAGCGAGTGCTTCTGAATCGACTCAAGCAGGCGGGCTGGGTGACCCAGTCTTAAAACCTTGACCTTGCTCTTTGCCAGGCGCTCCACCAAGTTATCAACAGCCACATTGGAAGGAGCACAGCAAAGGACCTGTTAACATTTACCTAGATGTTCACCACAATACTGCATCTATACCACATCAAATAATTTATACCTTAATTAACCAGATTAAGAGTTTATCTTGCTCACCTTTTGTTCCTGTTTTACTGCCTGCAGGATTACTTCAACCACTGTAGTGGTTTTGCCAGTTCCTGGTGGTCCATGTATGATTGCAACATCTTTCTGAGATATTGCAAAGGACACAGCCTCTTTCTGAGAATTATCTAACCCAGTGTTGCTAAATTCCAGTGGGTCTGCGATAAAAGAAATACAAACAGGCTAAGACCCCATTGTACTAGGTAAGGTGTTCTTCCTGGCTGTATTTTAGATCCCTTTCACATGTCACTCCATGTATGTGCTTACGCTGATGTGATAATATCCCTGGTTCTGAGTAACCAAAGAGGACACTGATCAGGTGAGACGCAGGACCACTGCTGTATCCATTTAAAGACTTTAAGGCACTGCAAGTATGAAATACATCACAAATACATCAACAGTTTCATTCACACAATTACATGTGCAAAAACATAATGCAAATGCAAAATGAATACACCTGTGCATATAGAGCATATTTAATCAAACTAATTTTAACTACTGTAGCAGCTTTAAACATCCTAAAAATTAGAGATTTAAGTTTGTTTAGAAAAAAACTAATATTTAATGATACTAGCTGTATGAACTGATAAACGTACATACCTTGACAGTCTCCTGTAGGTCACATCATTTGCCAGCTTCATTAGATTGTAAAGTCCATCTCTGTCCAAGTTCATACCGTCTTGCGTGTTATCAAAAGCCACCGTCAGTGATGCTTGAGTAACACGTGTCACCACACCTGAACCCAGCTGAGATGGCTGATCCTGACCCTCTGCCTGATACAAACCTATAATATCACCTGTACACAGAGTACAAAAGATAGTAAATAATATTGGAGTTAAAAAGTGCAGTGGCTCATTGGTCAGAGGCTTCGTTAAGAGTATTGTATGAAATTAAGTACTTCAATAGATAAGAATGTCTCACCAGGTCCGAAGGTGTTGCTGGGCAGAATTGAGGGTCCTATACTTTTCCTGGGTTCAAAAACTACCAGAAGTCTGCCATACATGCCAGTATGCTGGCTTGCGATCTGAAGTTTCAGCAGGTACACTCCTTTGTGCTGTAAATTCTTGGGAGATAAATTCTCCTGCCATGCTCTGGCGATACAATAAATATTTAATCAAGAAGTTCTTCATAGATGAACAGATTTGAGTTATGGAAATGAATAGCTATATATATATATATATATATATATATATATTTGTGTGTGTACATGTTTTTCTATACTGGTGGGGACTTAAACATGAATACACACGAACTCATGGGGACTTGTGTCATGGGTACAAAAGCTTATAAATCATACAGAATGAGTTTTTTGTATTATTATTATTATAAAAATGCAGAGAGGTAAAAATTCTGTGAGGGGTAGGTTTAGGTGTAGGGTTGGTGTAGGGCGATAGAAAATACAAAAACCATTACGTAACCAGAAAGTATAAAAACCATTACGCCTATTGCGAGAGACCCCACAAGGATAGTGAACCAGACGTGTGTGTGCGCCATTTACCGTGTTTCTTCCAATTCAGCTTCTCTCTCTTCTTGCAGGAGCTCAAGAGTCTTGGAAACGAAGTTTTCAACCTCCATAGCTGTCAAATCAACTCGATGAATAACTAAAAGCGAGTATAATGTAAAAAATAATAACTGTGCTTAATGACAAACGTGTGTACATCAGGCTGTCATGTCTGTTTATATATTACAGCGCATGCACTGGAATCGGTCCGTCTCTAAATTCAATCCCACTCTGTACAGAAGATCCAGGCACTATAATTTCGTCACGAACAGAAATAGTGTTAAACTATTAAAACATAGAACGACTACAACATGATTTAAGTTATATAAAATTACTTTTATTCCAATTGTAAAGTATAAAACATTCACATTTTACGACAAAATTGATGCGGAACGTATATTCCTCTTGAGGAGGAATATTGTTGTTGCACCGGTGTCATGCTTTTAGAGAACGGTGGACTGTCAACGGTGAAGATCTATACTCATTCATTTATTGAGTTTTGTCTCGCACTCGTTTTGCTGTGACACAAACGGGATATCTAGAAAGACAGTTTATATACAATAATGGCTCGGGTAGTGAAAGTGTTTCGGACTTTAAGAAATCACTGGAAAAAGTCCACATTTGCTGTGTGTGTGCTGTCATATGGAGGTCATTGGCTGTATGGAAAGCACAAGTTTGTGTTATCATATCTGACTGTTTCTATCATCTATCTATCTCTCTCTATCTATCTCTCTCTCTCTCTCTCTCTCTCTATCTATCTATCTATCATCTGTGCCTATCTGTCTGTCTGTATGTCTACAAACTCATTTGCTTAATTCTAGTACTTTTTTACAGTGATAATGTGCTGCGACGAGAAGCATGTATAGAGGCCAGGGTAAGGAATATTTAGTTTGAAAATATCATATATGATTGTGGACTGTGATAACCAGCATCATTATTTTAGTATAATTGAGATACTATTATAGTTTTTTTTAATAATTATTTTGAATTGTTTTTTATTTTTATATTTTCATTTTAATATTTGTTAGTTTTAGGGGGTTTTTTTTCGTTTTTTTTTCAGTTTTAGTTATTTTAGTACATCAAGTTAAAATGAAAATGAGGACTTTTGCTTTAGTAACTAGTTTAAATTAAAGTTTTTTTTTAACAATTTATTTATTTATTTATTTGTAAGTTTTAGTTAACTGTAATAACCGTGATTCCTAGTACTCTAAAATTCATTATAGGTAAATATATTGTACGTGATTTTCAGGCATTTGGTCATCAGTTAATTGGACCTCAGGAGCATCTAAAAAAAGCCACAGTCATTCTGAATCCTGCTGCCTGTAAAGGGTATGATTATACACATGGCCCTCACTGTGCCACAAATCAGTTTTTTTTTTTAGCTGTGTGAGTTTATTTGTGTTATCATAGTTACATTTTCTCTGCAGAAAGGCCAATCGTTTGTTTGAGAAAAATGCAGCTCCCATTTTACACTTGGCTGGTATGGAGGTCAAAATAGTGAAGGTATCATTCTTTATTGATTAAAGTGCTAAGGTTCTTTGGTAAAGGTGCTTTTGTATTTTTAGTGTATTAATTGCTCGATTCCCTGTAACAGACTGATTATGAAGGCCAGGCAAAAAAGCTCATGGAATTGATGGATCAAACAGATATGCTGATCATTGCTGGTGGTGATGGGACATTACAGGAGGTACAAAAGTATCTTCATAAAATGGGATTATTGAAAAATGACAACTTGAGCATATTTAAATGTTTTTATGTGTCATATTTCACACAGGTGATAACTGGTCTTCTGCGCAGAGCTGATGAGGTAGTTACTAGTAATAAATCTTTTAAGGCTGGTTTAAGATATATTGCACATTCCAAAGTTTTCTGAATTTGAACTACTGTAACCGCAGGAGACCTTCAGTAAAATACCAATTGCTTTCATTCCTCTGGGTTGCAGTAACTCTCTGAGTCAGAGTCTACATCTAGATTCTAATAATAAAGTACAGTAGGTTTCATGACTTCACTTTTCAATATTTTTATTTTTTGCTTAAATGTAGAAATGTGTGTTGTGATCAGATGTAATTACTGTAGATGTTTCTGGTTTTTCAGGCACATTACCTCAGCAACCCTGTCAATACTGAAAGGAGAAACTGTTCCACTGGATGTTCTGCAGATAAAAGTAAATTTGATAGGCATTTTGAATGAGAAATCATTAAGATTTGTCAGCTATATTTATTTTCATTCTTTCACACCGTTTTGATTGTGTAATTTCTGTTTTTAGAGTGAGAAGGAGTAGCCAGTGTTTGCTTTGTTAGGCTTACTTTGGGGTGCATTCAGAGATGTCGCTTGTTCTATTAGCAAGTATGCTTATAATATTTTTTTTTCACAGCATAAATACAAAATGCAAATGTGTATTTCTAATGTGATTTTTTCATTTAAGTTATTGGTACCTTGGCCCCTTGAAAACGAGAGCAGCACATTGGTTTAGTTGCCTTAAGGTGAGTGCTGCTCTTTGCATCGCATTTAAAGGAGTCCTTCATTGACATTGAATGTTCAGTTGCATCATAGAGGCATTCATTTGAGTTAATATTGGATTGATCACAATATCTTCTCTCCTACAGCAGTGGCCACAGACTCAACAGACCTCCCTCTCCTATCTGGCTCCTGTACCTCGTCCACCTGACCTTCCCACTGAAATACCACCCCGGCCGAACCTCCTCTACCGCATCTACCGCAGACTCCAGAACTACTGGAATACTCCTATACAAGGTATTTTATCACTTTTACAGATATGCCATTCTATAGAATATATCTTATGGATATTGGTATGCTAATATTAATAAGCAGGTTCAGACTTATTGTTAACCAATAAACCAGGGCAAGACTTGTGTATCTGTGGATGTCTAGTCTTGCATAGTAAGACCTCTAGACTAACGGCAGAATGTCTGGACTCCATACCAAATTGCATTTGCCAAGGACTGCTCAAAAAGCCTTCTGACCGACATGTAAAGCAACCAATCACTCCCAAAGTGTTTCCCAGTTTGTGTGCCTGATGCATTAGACTTTCAACCAAAAGTTTGTGGGTGTGACATCTGAGGCTGAGCCTAGTGGATGTCTAACATGTTAATTCCTTTTCTGTCGGTAGAGCCACCGAAAGATCCTGAGCCAGAGCGATGGGAGAACAAAGACATTTCCACATTGGAGCTTACAGTTAGCACACACAATAAGAACCCTGTCAAGAGAGTGAGTACTGACTTAATAGTTGCTCTTTATGGGAATGAAAATGTAATAGGTTTCGTACTAATCGGTGTCGTCTACTGTCTTCAGCGTGAGGCTGATTCTATGCTGATAACTCTGGACCCAGACTCCCTCACAGCTGGTCAGTTCATCACTGAGGGGTGAGTGTCATTCCCAAAACTGCTATTGAAAGGAGAAATGGAAAGTTTACTTCATGTTGAATCTGTTGCACTTTTTTGTCTGCTGAACATCTATGACCTAAATAACTTGCACTTATTTAAATAAGTACATTTTAAATCATTTTTTTGCAATTATCATTACTTTAATAATAATAAACTCAGCACTTTGTATTATAAGATAAAATGTTATCATAAGTGTTGTATTTTGATTGTTTAAAAATTACATTTTTATTTAATTTAATTTGCCATTAGATCTTTTCTATTTTTATTTTTTTTGGTATAAAATAATAATTTGTCATACAGAACTAAGAAAGCATTGAACCCGATGGAATCTGTAGAAAATGCTTTGCAGATAGAAGCCAGTGCTGCTTGTCTCAGTCTCCCAGAGGTCAGTATATTTTTTGGAAAAGCTTTGGGAACTGATTTCTTTGTAATCATCCATTGATCTGAAGCTAGTGGTCCAAACTCAGTCCTGGAGGGCCGGTGTCCTGCAGAGTTTAGCTCCAACCCTAATTAAACACACCTGAACCAGATAATCAAGGTCTTACTAGGCACTACTTACTAAGTAGGTCTTACTTAGAAACTTCCAGGCAGGTATGCTGAGGCAACTTGGAGCTAAACTCTGCAGGACAGTGGCCCTCCCAGACCGAGTTTGGACTCCCCTTGATCTAAGCTGTTTTGCAGCTGCTCTCATCTATTTCTTTTCTTCTCCTGTCCACAGGAGGGCGTCGGCTTTTATGACATTGACAATGAGGCATATGAGGCAATGTCTGTGGAAGTGAGACTGTTGCCACGGAAACTGAGGTTCTTTTGCAGTGCAGAGCACAGAGAGCAGCTTGCACAGGCTCAATGATGACAGTGCCAAGATGATGGTTGTGTAAAAGTGTGGAGAGGAGCCTGACAAAACTGGAAAACATACCGGTTACACCAAAAAGTGGAGTCAAATGAACATTGAGTTGTCATAAAGGTCACCATACTCCAACTGAACAATTTGTGTTCTATGGACCTTAATGAAAAGGCAGTTATATTGTCATTTTGATGGTTTTTCAACAGCATGGATGAGGTTATTAACATATTACAAGCATAAAGTTCAGACTAGTTCACTTTTAATTGTTTGTTGTTTTTTCCAAAAACTTAATATTATCATGATTCATGAAGATTGAAAAGATGGCTCAAGAACTTGCTTAAGAAACTCAAAGCAATACATGATACTGTAAGTGTCTGACCAGATAAGGACCAACAATAAAAGTCTATCAATTTCTTATTTTGCTTATTTTTATAGACTTTCCCATGCATTTGTGATAATCTTGTAGCTTCCTTTAGGTGATCCAGTGTTTTGTTTTTCTCAAAACAACCCCCCCAATACTGCACAAACAAAGCATGTGATAGAAAAGAGGGAACCATTTATTTCAAAATGGCAGTGAATAAGAATCACTGGCTTTAAAACAACAGACACATGCTGTTAGTTTGTATTGCTGTACAAGTAGTGTGTAAGACAGAGGCATTAGATTAGTGCTTTGTGATACCAGTAGAGTAAAACTCAACATTCTTTTAGCTTGTTATTGTGACAAAGATTTGTGTAACACTTAGATAACTCACAAAAAAGAAGGCACATATACACAATACCAGACAATTCAACCTGTACAATAATATGCATTCATTTAAAATAGGACACTAAATAACCAACCAACATCCTACAAGAGGATGGTTTGAAAGATTTATAATAAAGAAAGTTCTCTTATAGAAACTAAATGTAAAACCAAAATTCACATTTAATCAAATCTAGTTTATAAGCAACA